GAACGGTAAAAGGGTTTGTAATACATACCAGCTGACAAATGGATTTCGTGTACAAGTAAAGGTAAGACCATAAACTTTTATTATTTCTAGTTAGAAATAAGCTCAATTGGAATAAATTTTAACCTCAAATTAAATATGGGTCACGTTTGTGTGAAGAATGCTGATATGAGATATAAAACACAACGCATTGTCTGTTAACAGACAATTTGTTAACGGTTCATTTGTATTTGTAAATCTGACTGTAAAAGAGTCAGTGCCTCACCAGCTGTCAACCTCACCACACGTCACTGCTTACATGCACAGTGTAAGCCAACAGGGAGAATGTCCTGAGACATGCTCCAACAAACAAAAGACTGGCCAGAAGAGCTAGGCCTCGTTTCAGTTCAGGTGTGCCAGGTCAGGTTAGGTCTGGGTCCCGCCCACTTGTGACTGGGCACCATTCGGTATTTTTAACACTGACGCTTACTGTAAAATGAGAGTCACAGAGAGGGTTGGAGGCAACAGAAAACTGCCTGCTCACTTTACAGCTTAATGGTCCACAAGGGTGTCTGAGCAGACATAAACCGTGCATTTTACCACTGATGTGCATATAAACAAGATCAATAATCTGAATTACTGTGTGATGAGAATAGTTATATAAACGTATCTACTGCATTGACATTGGTCCTGAACCATTACTGTGTGATGAGAATAGTTATATAGACGTATCTACTGCATTGACACTGGTCCTGAACCGTCACTTAGGACAAAGGCTTTGCACACACTCAGCTTTGGTTTATACAGTCCCACACAGCAGTAGTAATGTGTAAACCAAAATGGGAACATGGAAAGTTATGAGGACTGATGGAGCTAAGATCAAAACACCGTTTGCTTTCAAAACATATGCACTAAACTCAACACTTTGTTCTTCTGCAGTTTACACCAAAAATAGCTTTCCCTGCAGAACAGGATCCTTTGGCAGAACGGAGTTCTTCTACCTGCGTTTACACCTTAGAAACCAGGGTCAAATACACAAAACACTAACGTTACACATAGCTCAAATTCCATCCAAACAAAGTCCCAACCATGCTAGGTGGCTAATGCTACCAAAACAAACAGGTTAGCTTTAGATACTAACACATCCAGAAGGAAGAAGGCCACATCTGGATCCAGTCTGAGTCCTCTGGCTGCTTTTAACCCTCTCCATGTCAAACAGCCAAACCCATGTTAACCCTGGTTGTTGCTCTTTCTTTGTCCCACTCTCTCTGTGCTAAAGACGCCACCTCTTCACTCTGACAGCTGGCAGGTGGGGCTGATTTACAGACCGTACTTTGACAACACAGGGTGGAGAAGCTGGAATAACAACAGGAGGCTGTAGGCAGCAGAGGGTCATGGAGGGGGGGTGTAGCTGGGAGACACCACGTCCTGTCCCACTGTCACTGATAAACCCAGTGACAGTGGGACAGGACGTGTAAGAGACCTTGGAGCGTTATCTGTACCGGACAGCAGCATCAGCTCCTTACATGTGACTGTTCACACCAATGCTGTACTGACCAGAGGGGTAAACAAATGACTTGTGTATACAAACATGCACACACACAAACACACATGGGAGCATAATCAACTCCATGCCAGATTAATAAGATCCTGCAGGGAGAGGCAGATGGTTGTAATAATAAATGGTATCATTGATCCTCTTGCAGTCCTCAGAGACAGAGGGGAGCTGAGGGAGAACAAAGGAACAGCTGACCCCCCCGCCCCAGCACGCACACACATTAACTGTGCCACCCTAAACTCATGACACAAATCTATAAAAAGTATTATTCAAATGCTGGACCTAAATATTATGAAGCTGTTGCAACATTTTCTATGATTTCAGCTGCTGATGAGAAGCATCCTCTTAGTGCAGTGATTCAGTCCAGTGACTCACAGTGTGCAAAGTTTCGTGCACATTAGGACCAGCAAGACAAGTACAACATGAGAAAGAGTGAGAATCACAGAACGTGGGACTGGTAGAGGCTCTAACGCGTGGTCAGTAACTGCAACACAATGTTTAATGAACAAAAAAGACAAATGCCAGTTGTATTTGTGGCTAAAAATGTGTGATGTTTACAAAAATCAAATGATAAAAAAAACTTGTTTTATTTTCTAAAGCTCATGTCTGAATGGGTTAATCTGTTCTGAGGGTGTAATGTCACTATCATGTGCTGCACTACTTCTAAACAAAATGCAGCTATATTCTCTGGGGTTCAGTCATAAATATGAAGACCTATCTGTTCACATGCTCCCTCTTGAGAGCGATCCATCAGAAAGTAGGAAGCACAAAAAGTGATTACAAGACATGTCCACAACTGCACAAGTTCAAGTCCCAATTCCCGAGACTCTGAAAACTGCTAAAACATAATTCAAGATCTGCTTACTGGCTTTTTCTTTGCACGAAGATACAATAGCTCACTTTTCATTGCAAACTGCAGAGGAACACCTTGAGATGTGGTTGAAAGCTCCAGGAAAAGCAAATATATCTTCCATGAGATTTCTTTCTTCAAACAACTTGATTTTTGCTCTATACCTTATTAATTTCAGCCTTTATGCATCTCCCACTGTGAATGCAGTGAGCTGTTACTTTATGGCTTAATAGTTTAGTTAATTATCCTAAGAGGTCATTACCTGCACTTTCTACCACGTTGAATTGGACAGTGTCTCCCAGTTTGTCCACATTTAACTTTAAAGCAACTATCAAACTGTCTAAACTCAGATGATCCACTGACTTTTGGCACTTTGGTGAATATGCTCTGTTGCTTCACAACAACTGGATGTACATTTTTGCTCAACTACGCGTTCTCTTTCTGGGAGCCTTTGCCTCGGGCTGCAGGGCCGCACTCAGAGATAATACACAATAATCTGTAAACAACCCTTTGTTACAACACAGTCTATAGTACTGCGTCTTAAGAGAGCTGATAGAGAAATGCAAAGAAAGGACTTCTGGGAACATTTAGGTACATGTGGAAATAGTTTGAAGAAGTCAGAACATCAGTGACAATAAAGTTAAAGTTGTTCTTTGTACAACAGATTTTGATGGTTAGACTCCACTCTAACATCATTTGTGACTAGCTGAATGCAGATGTGTCTATTGAAGTATCTGTAACAATATAAAACGTCTTTGTAGAAGAAATAACAATTCCTTACAGATGCTGAACAGGGGGCCCAGGAAGTCAGATCCATGCTTAACGGTATGAATAAATCATTGATTCCATGAATCCACCTGTCATTTATTACATGCATCTGTTAGGGAGACAGTAAAGCAATGCAACAGGGTGCAAGCATTAGATGCCACTGTCAGACCGCGTGTAATAATGCATTAATGACCACTACTATTGCGCACTAACAGGGAGGGACAGAGACAGTGACTGGGGACAGACTGAATGAACTGTATCATCATTACAGAACTGGCCCGGGCCTCCTCTGATAAACAAACAAGGCTTCCGTGGTTTTCACTCACGACTCAGTGATGATGAGGAGCCTGTGCCACTACACCGTGTTCGGTTCATTCAAACGCGCCGAGCTGTACTGTACCTTGACGCTGGTGTGGCTGGTCTGCGTTTCGGCCTCGATGCAGATGTGTCCTCCGCTGTTCTCCTTGCGATCCCGGTACGAGTTGTTGCGCGAATGCCGGCTCTGGTAGGTGATGACGGAGGGGATAGTCTCGGCCGCATCGGTCTTGATAAAGAGCCCGTGGAGCGTGGCCGCGGTGCCCTGAGAGATAGTGGTGGTCTGGTGTGGGGAGTTGGATTCGTCTGAGTCTCGGCAGTAGATCACCCCGCTCTGAGAGACGTGGATACTGGGAGCGCAGCCCATGCCTCAGCGACGCGCCTCCGGTGTCAGATCCCAGATAATAAACACCGACACTTGGGTACCACCTTCCCGCCGTCCACAGCTGCCTGCACACAGGCTGCTGTCTTCTCCGGGCATCGGTTGCGGGCTCAAATCGCTCTCTCCTCCACACACCTCCGTTTGAGCACATTAAGGGAGGGAAACGTGGGGTACAGATGATGAATCCGGTTCCTCCTCGGCCCCCGCTATTGTAGAATCTTGGATTTCGATATCATATTTAAGAGAGAGGGTTTTTCGGGGTGCAAACTAAACCCTGCTAATGGCCTACACCGCTCGCTCGCGCATTTACAGTAAGAAATGACCCGGACTAAGGAATAAAAGCAATAAATGGACTAAACCACCTGGCTGCTCCTCACCAGCTCTTGCTTTATATCCGGCTTTGATCTGCGCTCATCCTCTGTGACATCCAGTTTAGGCCTGTGGACAGTGGCTGGCTTCATGACATCTCTTGTGTCTTTACTTTAGTTCTTCTGCTCGCTGATCATTGGCCACGGTCCATCTCTCTCTCCCCCCCTCTCTCTCTCTATCTCTGGATCTACATCACACTGGCATTATCACTCCTCTCTCTCCACCGTGGCTCTAACTCCGTGTTCAGTTAAAGCCTCAGTATGCTGCATTAGATAACATGCTATCAAGTGAATGGAGGCTTTATGAAAACCACTTCCTACCACATTGCTCAGCTTGCATATCACTTGTAGTTAATGGTAAAGTCCTTTCTATCTTGCATTTGCCAAAAGTGCGCAGCTCTGGTGTGTCAGTGTGGAGAGCCTGTGGTATCTGACCTCTGCCTGTGTTGATATGAAGCAGCACCAAGGCTGTGAACCGATAAGGGCAGAACCGTCATCCTCATTTCTGATTCATCTGCAGAGGATTTTGTTGATTCAGTTGATTTGAGAAGCTGAAACCAAACAATGTTTGGCATTTTTTTCAACAACAACTCAAACCTGAATTGAGAATAGTTGACAGCTAATTTTATTTATTGATTGACTAATTGTTTCAACTCTAGATGTCTTTTAATATAAACTGTACCACATACTGAAAATGCGGGGTGTTTATTTTTGCTTTAACTTTTCTTTTCTTATGTAACTTTGTTTCAAATTTAATTATTCCATTAACTGATCAGTCAAACAGAAAAGCAAACTGCAACAAGTCGGTTCACTCATTTTTTTGTTGCTGTCATTGAGTAAAACAGCTGTAATAAACCTGCCCAGCAGCAAACAGCAGATAAACAAAATGAGCTCACGTTCTCATCAGCTCTGTTTGTAAGTTGTAAAGTAAAGAAGGATGTAGAGCAGACAAATGGATTTTCAGCCAGCATTTATCTTACAGGGACATAATGAACCGTAATGTCACATTAATTAGGTGAATAGTAAAAAAAAAACTACAATTCTTATTTTAGTAAGGTAATAAACCCTTTAGAAAGTATGTTAAAATGATGTGTAAATGATCTAATGCTCAACTTTAAAGCTGTTAAATATCATCTACATCACAGGGAACAACATCTGGCCAGCTGGGATTTTAACATCACCACTTCAGCCAGTTTAGCCACATGTACCACAAAACTTAAGTCAAGCCAGAGTTGGGTCTGATCTACCGACCCTCCTGGGGTTTGACCTGAGACAGATGCCGGAGCTGGAAAAGTCGTCCACACACGTTTCCTGACTCTGATCTGATGCTTTAAGATGCGGTCACAAGTACATTTACTCAAGTACTGAACTCACTACGTCATTTCCATTTTCTACTAAGTTATGGTTTTACTTCACTACAGCTCGGGGGAAGTATTCCTCTTTCTACTCCACTACATTTCCTGGACAGCTGTACCTGCTTTAAGGATTTAACATCTGAGGTTTATAAAATGTCACAGACGGAACTAACCAACGATAGTGCACACAATCATTACATCCATAACAATACTCCAGTATAATGATATATTTAATGACACATGTTGCTGCAGTGTATACCTTTAGTTTTAGTTCTTTAAGCACATCTTGCTTACATATTTTTCTTTATATAATGAAGCATTTTACAGTATAGTACTTTTTTTTCTTAAATATAGGTGATAAATACTTGCTACCAGTATAAACTACTGTGTGTGGTTACTGTGGACAACACATCTTATCTAACCTGCTCAGCACTGTAGGCTGATTTGGTGAGGAGGCTGCAGGAGAGCGCCCCCTGGTGGCAGAGCTCACACAGGATCAGCTGCTGCTCAAACTGCGGCTCAACACTCCAGCCCATGTTCTCTGTGCAGGCTGATGCACCTAAAATATCAGCTGGTTGCTTAATTATCTCCCCAATCTGTCCCCGTTTAGCTTTTGTCAGCAAATCACAAAAGCTGTGGGCAATATGGCCACACAATATGGTACAGTAACAAACAGGGATGGAGATGGAGTGGGACTTTTCTTGACATATATCTCAGACTAAAGAGCTCAAGTAGAAAAGACAAATGGGCTGTAACTTACTGGAGAATGACTTTAAGAGTTAAGCTCTAAAATAATATTTTTATGTCATCACTTCCTCGTCCACTTATTCTACTTTAAATCCTCCATCACGGCCATCAGATTTATTTGATTTCTTTTCATTTTCTGGCTCATTGATGAGTCTGGAGTTGAAGGCGAGACGCGTAGCAGTGGTTTGGCTGTGTACTATGTGGTAACAGACATAATGGTAGCCTGTTGCGTAGTTTTCCCTTTGAAAACGAAGCACTGGACTTGTTGCAGTTGGCTCCTACCTTTCGTGGTCCATTGGGAAATAACGCACCCTCCTGTGCTGCCAGTCCACTCATGTCTATAAGCTCCGATGCCGCGCTCTTCAGTATGAAATCGAAGTACTGGCCGATATAAGCTTGTACTGTATACAGGGTACATACATGTGTATACCTTTGTCTGGTGAGAGTACCGATAGCTGCCGAGCTGCGGGTGTCCGCAGGTACCGAGCACCGATCAGCAGTTAGACGTCGGCCTCTGAACTTCTTCACCTTGTGGGTTCAGACCGCGGCCGTGGCCCCGGTGTCCGTGCGGCCCTAGTGTCCTCACGGCGCACGCAGCATTCAGATACCTCAACTTGGGTACAAGTAACATCGTCATGTAAAAGCTCGATCTGCTTTCAAATTCACACTTAATGCTATTACTCCACTACGTAGCAGTGGCGGAAGAAGTAATTAGATATTTTACTTAAATAAAAGCAGTAACACTATAAAGAAAAAATACTATATTCAAGTAAAAGACATTCAAAATGTTACTTAAAAGTACAAAAGTGTTAGCATTAAAATATACTTGGAGTATCAAAAGTAAAAGTGCTCATTGTGCAGAACTCCACCTTTCACATTAATGCATATTATTGGATTATAATTATTGATGCATTATTGTGTTCATCACTTGCTGCAGCTGGTAAAGGTGCTAATGTGAACTACTTTATATACTTACAATGTGAAGTACTTCACATACTGCTGGGTAAAAAAACTACAAAACGCAAGGAGGTAAAAGTATGAAGCAGCCAAAAATAAAAATACTCAAGTGCAGATAACTCAAAAGTGTAATTAAGTACATGTACTCATTTACTTTGTACCACTGAAAGGCTGGTTACAGTAGCACTGGTTACTTTTTAAATTTATTTTATGCTGTATTGTTTTATTAAACTATACCAAAAACCATTGTAGACATTTTTAATTATCATCAAGGATAATTCCACACTATGTTAATGCATAAGGGGCCATTCTGTACTTTTAAGTCAAATTAAAAATGCAGTAGTATTTTTACAGAGTGCTATTTATATTTCTAATGAAAAGATCCAAGTAGTTACCTCTTTCATTGTGCAGAAGTAATGTATCAGCTAAATGCACTTAAAGCCGCACCCTGCACCATTTCTGTCACGACTAGTGCATGTGACAGAACGTACTGTGTATTACATGCATGGATTATTATTACTTATATGTTGACATGTAATCACCATTTTATATTCTGTTGGTTATTTGTCTCTGCTCATCAGAGGAAATGTGTAAAAGTGCTTTGAAGACAGGATGCAATTCCTTTCCAGGCCAGCAGAGGGAGCACAATAAGCACAGCAGGTCAATATGATCAGCTCCACACACACATGGAGATACAGATAAAACAGGTAAAAGCCATTCTTGGAAGACACATGAAGCCTACAGATGCTGAATGTGCTCTCATCCTATTATGAAGGAAGCTGGATTTCGTTCTCTTCCGCTCAACCTGTGAGATTTAGTAGCTCACCCTCTTATGACATAAGCAGGCCTTTGTTTCCCTAAATCTGAATTATGCATGGCTGAACAGAATCCATCTCTCTCTCTCATTTGGGATAATGTTAGTTCCCATGGGGATGCCTGATTCAGTGACCATCCCACATTCACAAATCATTTCTTACCTGCATATGGCATATTTTTCTCAGCAGGGTGCTGGAAAGCGTACGACAGACACCCTGGCATAAGAAGAAACCTTTGGAAGAGGCCTGTGGGGATGTGTCTCTGGAAGCCATGCAGGGATGAATAAGGCACACCAGAGCACATTTTCCATGCTGCCTGGCAAGATTTAACATGTGAAGTTGAGATTCTACAGGCGGACCCAGACCAGAGGAAAGATTTGGACAACATATACAGTGCCTTGCGAAAGTATTCGGCCCCCTTGAACTTTGCGACCTTTTGCCACATTTCAGGCTTCAAACATAAAGATATAAAACTGTAATTTTTTGTGAAGAATCAACAACAAGTGGGACACAATCATGAAGTGGAACAAAATTTATTGGATATTGCAAACTTTTTTAACAAATAAAAAACTGAAAAATTGGGCGTGAAAAATTATTCAGCCCCTTTACTTTCAGTGCAGCAAACTCTCTCCAGAAGTTCAGTGAGGATCTCTGAATGATCCAATGTTGATACAGACTGGCCACCAATCGAAGGGAATTTCAATATTTACCTACATCCTCGTTTTGTTAGTTGCAGTTAAGCAAACACGCAATTCGCTAATTCATGTTAGTGGATGAGTGAGACTTGTTTAAGTATTTTCCTTCCACGCTAATGATGATTCATTTGAATGACTTTAGGTGTGAATTTTGACTCACGGGCCATTGAATACAGATAAACAACAGGGTGGTTCGTTTTAACATCTATCCATGAGCCAATTTAACGATCATATTACAATTACATTAACTGGGCAGATAGTTTTGTTCTGACCTATTGTACATATGTTATTTGTCTGTCACACACACACACTCCTGCAAACAGAAGTATATAAAATGTATTCACACACTGTTGGAGTGAGATGAAATACACAAGGATTAAAGGCACCCAACACCACAAAGTCACATCACAAAATGCCAAAACAGTCAAAAGTGCATTCATCAGTCTACATGAATTAAATCGATCGTTTCATGTATTTGTTTTATACAGTGTGGCTCCGATGGCATTAGTACCCCTGCAGAGGCAGATCATGAGGAATTGTTTAGTGTTAGGCTGTACCGGAGATCTTTGAGTTCTGAAAATCATTTTCGAGCTGAGGTTAACAATTGTTTAGGTCCTTTTGATGAAGGAAAGCAAAGCAACAAATTACTGAAAAAGTCTAGTTTGTGTTGGCCGCTACAAAGTATTAACTTAAGGGGGCTGAATAATTTTGCACGCCCAATTTTTCAGTTTTTTATTTGTTAAAAAAGTTTGAAATATCCAATAAATTTCGTTCCACTTCATGATTGTGTCCCACTTGTTGTTGATTCTTCACAAAAAATTACAGTTTTATATCTTTATGTTTGAAGCCTGAAATGTGGCAAAAGGTCGCAAAGTTCAAGGGGGCCGAATACTTTCGCAAGGCACTGTATATATATTTTAAGTCAAAGGCTGCTATTGCAGGCCTCTGCATGTCGACCGTGTCAGCAGTGACAGAAGGAGACGGCACTGGATTTTAGCAGTAAACTCACACCTGGACCTGTTTGCGGTCTCTTAGCCTCTGTCACCTTTTATATTAGTCTGAGCATCAAACTGTATCGACAGGAGCCCATCAATAATGTGTGGCAGCTTATCGTGTGATAAGAAATGCAATTTTTTTTTTTTTTTTGGTACTTAGGTTGTGGGAACACCTGGAGGTACTGGAAGTTTACAAAAGAGTTCAGAAGTTTTCATTAACATGTCATTTCTGCTGAATGTGAGGGCAGTTTATCAGTGTCAGGACAGCAGATACAGGGCGCTCCCCAGTCAGGTCACAGCGTTGGGCTCACGACTGTGAGGCAGCATGGTCTGCTCTTATCTGTTGTCTGGGTTGCTTCAATTCTTAATACACTTTTGACAATAAAGCATGTTCACCTGAAAAGTAACTGATACATTTGGGTTTTCATTGTTGTTCTAAGTCTGAAAAAGTCAGAACACACTGATGAAATGTCGGCAGCTAAAGCTCCAGGCTCTCTGTCGGGCCTAGTAGTGTAGGAGTCAGGGTTCGATATTCAGAGACACAAGAATACAAAACAAAGAAAGAAAGGAGGGAAATAAATAAACAAGTACTATAAAATACAGCAGTTCACAGTGTTTCCTACCAAATTCTGGTTTTCTATTCATTTTCCAGGTAGATACAGATATTTTAATGGATAGGTTCATATAAAGACTGGGACATGTAGCTTATCTTGAAGACACAACATGTTGTTTTGCACCACTCACCACCAAGAGTGCGGATTACACCGAGACCCAGTTTCTGCATTTGAATAGACTGACCTTTTCAGCAGCCTGAGGCGGCTGCAGACCTGGGGGGCTGAGCCCAGGCAGGTGGAGGACAAGTACTCGGTGCCCTTGTCTCTCAGTGGCTGCAACTTAAAATGGCTTAACAATCAAGTATTTCACTTTTAGTTCATGAAACGTAATTTTTCACTGCCCATAAACGTAGATTGTGATATGGAGCTTTGAAAGAGGATCCAGATGTGTAACAGAAACAAAATCACAATATCTATTTTGCATTTTGACAGATTTTAGTCTTCAGGTTGTCTAGTTCATTGTCAACAACCGATTATATGTACATACAGCTGGCATGCAGTTTGTTTAGTATTATGGCAGGAGTTGGAGTTTTCATTCATTTAATATTCGTCTCAGAAACACTTTAGAATAATAATGAATTCCTGTTACTCACCATTAACAAATGATCAAGTCACTGGGGCTTTCTGTGATTAGCTCATATTTAATAGATAAGGTGTGTTTGTTCACATTTGCTTTATACTCTATATCTTTAAATAATTCATTCAATTGTCATGGTGCTTTAGTTGAGTATAACTCAAGTGTATGATTTGTACCCTTATCATAAAGTGTTACATTTATCTCTCCTGGATTTAAAAACCATGGAACCATCTTCCAGGAACTGGTTTGTCTGACGTCCACCCATGTTTCACTGGGTTTTCTCTACTAGATTGTTACTCCACATATCGATCAAGAAGCTCCCTGTTACTCACCGCCACCAGGAGATGCCACTCTTCCTGGATTCAAATTGAAAATCTAGCTGGAGAATCGTTTTCTAAGAGTCATGTTGTAGCTTTACCCTAGTGGTCAGTTTGCATATTGCAGCCCGTCCATGGTGCAGACCTGAGAAACAGATTGCAAAAGAGCCCATCAGGGTGTGTTGGAGACCTTTGGTATATACAGGCTCTATTTGCCTGTGAATTTACCAGATTAAATAAAAAAGCAGACTATAACTCTGCACCCAGATCTTCTTATATAGCCTACCCTATGTGAAGCTGTGCAGAACGGGTAAGGCTTGATAAGACTTGTGAGAACATTGGTTCATCATGAGATGGACGGCCTCTCGGGTGTAACAGGAAATGCAGAGCTGCAGCACCTGCACACTGCACTTACAAGTCTAATTCTACCTTGACCTTTGACCCCCCTTTGCCACACTTAATCCATTAAAAAAATGGGACAGAACAGTAAAAGCACTGTTTTACTTACCAGAGCTTTCACATTTATTCTCACTGTTACATAGATGAAATCTACATTTAATTTCACTGTAGGATTTTTTTTTGCTCATTTAATATATTTTGATCATATATTTCTGTTTTGTTCCCAAATAAATGATCAGTTGAGCATCAGTAGCTCTTTTTGTTTACTGTGGAGCAGCCTCACCTGAAGAGCCAGTCAGACCCTTGTGAGGTTTGTCATCAGCTGGTGCTGTGTGCCCACTAGTCAGAGAAAAAAAAATCAAAATTCAGTTTCATAAGTGAGAAGTATCACAGATCTCTGCATCATTACAGCGCTAGTTTATACAGACACGAGTTGTGAAGTTGTATCGTTCCAAGTGAATAAAAATATGGCAGGTAAAATCCGAGCAGCATGTAGGATCATACGTTTAATGATTAGCACTGTGGAAGGACTGCAGACACCTGAGACTGTCTGAAGAACGATGATGTCTGAGTTCTGTGTTGTTCGAGCTACGCTGGCATCAGCTGCCCCTC